GCCCTGGAAGGCAAGCGGTCCCTGAGCCTGAGGGACATTTTGCTTGTGTTCTACCTCCCGGCTGGCCTGGTCTTCCACCGTACTCCAGGACTGCCCCTGGCCAACCACCATGAACAAAGATAAATTTCAGAAACTTAGACTCAATAAAGATATGCGTGGTGATTTGCTGTCCTGTTAGCCAGAAGCATTAGTGAGCTCACAATGCAGCCTCCCAAATGTCTACTGTAAGTCTGGTATGGGCTATTTCATTTTAGACCTTTTGGTATACCTTTTATAGGTTGGAATTTTTTTCCCCAGATAAAAATTTTTTCATTTTTCTGATTTGAATGTTTACTATATGATGGCTTTAGGAAATATGGAAAATTTTAAAAAAGGAAAAGAAAAAAATCTATTCAAAGATGAATCACTGCTATCATTTGAGGGAATTTTTTTCTAGGGTCCCCGCCCCATACTAGGGATTGAATCCAGAGCTTTGCATCGAGCTACATCTTCAGCCTTTAAAACTTTTTTTTTTTTTCTAATTGAGTCCTGGTCTTGCTATGTGCTCAAATTTGTTGTACTCCTGCCTCATCCTCCCAGAGTTCTGGCACCACACCTGGCTTCTAGTTGTTTTCAGTGCACTTTTAAAAAAGCTGACTGTAAAGCTAGTCATATTATAGTACATCATTGTGTATCTTTCTCTAATTATCTCTCATAATGTCTTTCTCCTCCCTTTGGTTTTAGCCTACATGGCTTCAGTGTGCCAGGTGTTGTATACAAGGCCTTTGCACTGACTTCCCGCTTTCTGGGAGGTTCTCCTTCTAGACAAGTAAATGAGTCACTCCACTTCTTTCAAGTCTTTGCTTAAACGTCATCATCTCAACGAAGCCTCCTCTGACCTCCCCCTACTTGTGGCCCCCAAAATACCATCTGTCTATTATTAATATCATTATTCTACCTATATGCCAATGTAAACATTAAGCAATAGTATTTTTGTATACATTTCAAAATAGTTATATAAAGTCTATCCTTTCAATAGACCCTATAGCTGAGTATTTAGACTGGATCCAGTGTGGTGTTGTTGTAAATTACATGGACTTACTATGAACCTTGTATGTAAAGTGCTTTTTCATTTCTTAGGCACTAAAGAAATACTTGGATGAGGGGTTACCAGGTCGAGGTATATTGTATTAAGACACAGTTGGTAGCAAGTGAAAGAAACTCAACTCACATTGGCTTAAGCAACTTAAAGAAAATTATTGAGCAATGTATTTGAGGAACAGAGGGATCACATCAGACACAGGTAACTCCAGACGGTCAGTTGATGTCATCAGGGCTTGATCTATCTCTTATCTTCAGTGTCCACTTCCTCTGTGTTGTCTTCATTCTGAGGCCATCTTTATGCGTTTATTTCAGAATCACTTTCCACTGCTCCTGTTTTCATCTCCCTAGCTCTAAAACCATATCGTAGGAAGGCATTCCCTCTCTAATATTTTTAGTAAAAAACATGGGATGGGCTCTCCTTGGCTCCAATTGGATTGTGTCGTACTTGAATCATTAACTTTGGATGTGGGACAAGTTAATGGGTTATAGCAGGGTGGGAACCATTCCTGCCCACAACACTTAGTCTGATGCTAAGGCAGGTGTAGCTCCCCAGAGGGGGATCAGGGTGCTGCCCTCCAGCATGAGGGATGGGTACTGTGCAGGCCCAAACCATATACCTTCATGTTACTTACAAACATTTTTAAGGACTCTGTGTCTCAGTGGAGGAAAAAGCGAGGAGTCCAGTGCCATTTCTAAATAAGCAATATTGGAAGTATAAGTGCAGCCTAATCAGATGGAAAAGCATTTGCACTTTGACCGTGAGGAGAATTGGATGAGGCTCCCCATAGCTTGTGATCCCACACCTCAGAGGCTGGTGGTGACCATGAGCTCTGCAAGTGCACTTTTAACTTAATGACCAGTGGTGATAGGTGTGGATATGAGAAACAAACATTTTGAACATTCCCCTGAGATTCTGCTAGCTTCTATCCAAATGAAGTTGCAGGCTGTGGACAGTCCAGTCTGTTGCATTCCAGCATAGTTACAGAGTACGTTAAAGAGGCCCTGTCCTGGTGTACTGATAGCCTTAGTGACTTCATTACTTTCAGCTCTGTAGTTCCTGCCTTGACAAAAGCATCCTTCACAGGAGACCTCTGCTTTATGCCTTCTTGGTTGCCCATCTCTTCATGAGCATTGCCAGCTGGCAGCATAACAGGGCCCATGTCTGTTATTTGCTTTATGGTCAGTACTGAACTTTGGTGGATTTTGGCTATGCTCAACCAGGTGTTCATGGAGTTCCAAACGCCCCTATGACACATCTCTGCCTTGGGTGGTCATCTTGGTCCAGGCCTTTTGTTATCCAAGTGGGACTCATTTGTGGAATGAAGGAAGTTAGAAATTCATCAGTGAAAACCCTGTGGTTTGCTGTCTTTACATGGGAACAGGAACTGTTTTAAGAAACCTGTTTTTGAGCCAGGCATGGTGGCTCATGCCTGTAATCCTGGCGCTCAGGAGGCTGAGGCAGGAGAATTGCTGTGAGTTCGAGACCAGCCTGGGCTACATAGTGAGTTCCAGGTACTACATCGTGAGATACTGTCTCTAAAAAAAAAAAAAATCTGTTTTCTGTTCGCTTCATTGGTATCCTAGAATTAGAATATATTATGATGGGTTAGGAGTCAAAGAATGAAGTTATTACTCAGCATTCTTTATGAATTCCTAAAAGACCTTCTGAACTCTTCCATTTGGTTCTTGTGTTAATTAATGACTTCTTATTCAGTAGCAAGAAACAGGAAGCTGCCCGAGGTGAGGCTGTGTGGAGAGCCCTTCAGTGTACTCTTGATTCTCTATGCAATTTTTGGCATTTCTTTTTCCATGTCATCAAGGATATTAGACTGAGATAATTCCTCAGTGAATGATACATCTCTGTTAAGGACTTCAAGTCAACCTAGAGCCCCATTGCTCACATTTCCCTTGGTGCATATAGGACAGAACAACAGTAATATTCCACTTGCATTTGAGATTTTCCACCCACTGAGCAGGCTTACCTCATTCACACATGCAGGATTTTCTGGTATAATTCCGGAGTATTTGAAATCAGGGGTATTGGACTCCCACGGAGTTGGGGAAATCCTGCCATTCAGTGGTCATCTCTTTGTTTGATTAGATCCCTGAGATAAGGAATTCCTGTGTTTCTCACATGGTCAATCTTTTGAAATCGATAGCCTAATACATAGGTCTGGCATCACCATGTAAGTCATACACAAACACTTTAAAGTCATAGTTTACTGCTTGTAAAGCAAGTGGTCTCTTGTGATTGTGTGTGGAGGAAAGTGCTTTTCTAGCTGTGCTGTCTGTGATGCCCAAGCTGGAGAGCACAGGTAGAGACAGGTAGGTGCTCTGGTCCTGTAGCTTTCCTTTGGTCTGTTACTGAGTCTATGTGCAGGATGTTAGTGGAAGTTAAGAAGTTTCTACTAGTGATAAAAAAGCAGCCTGCAAGAAATACAGCTAAATTATTCTAAAAACAGGTTGTAAAGGGAAAAATGAGATACTTTTTAATTTGCTTCTATGAAATTTTGTTACGCTTACTTAACAATGACTGAGGACTTACTCCGAGTCATTTAATAAGACATTTCCATGCTCAGGGCAGTCCATCCAGGGATCCACTACCTCTGCACATGACAACGTCAATGGTGAATCAGTGGTGTTTGGGAAAGCTATCTGCTCCTCCATTACACACCTGTGTTGTCTGAGATAGCTACAGCTGGCATAGGCCCAAATGCCTTGGGCCTCCCTCTGGGGCCGTAAGAGGAAAGTCAGGAACACCTGGAGCAATTCGTATCAAGATAAAAAAAGATGGACAGTATTCCCCCTCACACAGCCTAAGGAATGGAATGTATAGGAGCTGGTGGTTCTCTGTAGCACTCTGTTTCTGCCCCTTGCTTGTCTTTCTACTCCCTGGTCTTTGTAGTAAACAGGGGCACAAATTTCAGGTTTACTTACACAAATTGACCATCTAGGAAATGAACTAATTTCGGTCCGCTTTGGGCCAGGTAATCCCCTTGTGCACACAGTATATCTCTGGGTTTACTCCTGAATATTGTGGATTAGGATGGGAAGTAGTTCCCAGAAAAGGACCATTGTGGTCCTTGAATGGACATCCACATAGGTGCTAACCCCAGTGCCTCCTGCCCTTGCCCATTTCCACACTGGAACCTCTGGGCCCCAGAGCAAGCCATCTCAAAGCTTTGGTGATTCAGAGGTAGAATTCTTTTCTTAGTTGGAGGGTGGATATAGCTTGTTAAATTTAGTTTTTGTTTATAGATCTACCTTTTCTGAGCCAAATTGAGGGCAATTTTTGAAGCTGGACATTGATTTGGTACAGAATAGAATTAGGCAAAACTGGCACCTAATCAACTTGCCTCCCAATTTTTGAATATAGATAAAATGTTTTAATTATAATCTTGGCATTTATGTTTATAGACATCTATTGTTATCTGTTTTTCTGAACAGATATGTTGGTGTCTATTTTACACTTTAAATGCTAGGCAAAAGATTTTCTTTTCAATTATGTTTGTGATGATGAAGGCATTAGATTCCATCACTCATTATTTTATATGAGATGAGTTTGGATAGTTGTAGTCTTCCTTTGAAAGTTTAACATAGTTCCAAGAAATCTCGTCTGGTTTCTAAATTCTCAAATCTCAGAAGTCATATGACTGGCAACTACACAGGCAGGTTTATTCAGAAGCTGGATGATTCTGAACATATGGGGAAGGGAAGTTGTTGCAGGTAGAATTTGGAAATCTTTTTACCATCCATTTAAATTTCACATTTTTATAAGGATAGTAAATTTAAAATTTTATTCTATTGGAACTTTTCAGTGATATTTAAAAGGCCATACCAAATGTATTGATATGCACACAAATGAGAGAAATTAGGAGGATTTCAAATATTCTGAATAATATTTTCTTTCTTTTTAGCTGTCTCCGTTATGAGGTACAGCGCCTCTGCTTTTGGGTTTGCAGTAAGTAAATGTACTTTCATGAAGTTTTGCACGTTTGTCCTGAGCCCATGAATCTCTCCCCGAGCTCTCAAAGAAGAGGGTAGTTAGCATGTGAGAGCTTAGCATGGGAACCATACCTTTTATGGAAATAGCTTCTCTAAAAATGCCAATTTAATAGAATTAAACTGCAGTGTGACCATGTATTTCTCAAGGACAGATGGGGAAACCATATTTTTCATAAAAAGTTGTTGATTGAGAGCATGTTTTCGGAGTTTTAGACCTTCTTTTCTCTTTCAGGTGTGGGTAAGGCTGGTATGTACTGAGTGATGCATTTACTGGTGTAGACAGGTGTTGGGATGAATCAGTCTGTAGCCCAACTAGGGGTAACTGGGCTCCCAACCTACCTCCAGATGAAACTTGTGCAGGGAAAGCTGGCCTTTCCTGTGGTTCTCCATGTTGAAAAACTGGGTGATATTTCCCCTCACTCCTTCAAGATAGTGCCAGTTCTTGTGAGTTTCCAGGGGACATTGTGATACGGTGTGATGATTGATAAGGAGAGCTGCTTGCAACATTCCTCCTATGTAGACGTAGGATTTCTGGTACCTGAGAGTATGAATGCCTCTTTCCAAACCTACTTCTGACCTTTGTTGTGAGAACTTAGTGTTTGTGGGGGTGTTGCAGAGTCTTTTCGAATCTTATGATAGGTGTGGACTGTCCAGAGAAATTCACATGATCACACATGCACACACACCCAGAAACACACAAATATTCTCACCCCCCTCTCTAACAAGCCCTGCCCTGCCCCTTCTATCTTCTATTTGCCTGTGTGTCTCCCTCACTCCTCTTTCTTTGAAACAAAGCATTGACTTTTGTACATAGTATCAAAGTGTCAGTGGACTCTCTGGAGCCTTGGGTAACTCTCACCTTCACCCCCGATTCTGGGTGGAACAGTCCTTTGGAGAGCTAGAAACAGAACCCACACCCTTAAAATGTGCAGGGAAATGTTGAGTTATCTTACCCGCCACAAGGAAACCAATCCACATACTTCAGAAGGATATGCTTCCCATCCCTGCCTTGTGTCTCCAGGGTGCTGGGAGCAGAGTCCACCACACAACTAAGGTACTGTGGTGTTCTGAATTCTATGCCCCAGGCTCCACCATGAGGGGTTGTGAGCAGTTGTGTTGAGACGTTCAACACTTCTTTTCACTGAGATACTCTGAAATACAGCACAGTTGTCTTGTGTCTTCATGGTCATGCTGTATTAACTCTGGAAAGCCACTAATGCCATGTTTCCTTCTAGTTTGATGCCATCTTGGATGTCTTGTCATCGGCGATTGTCCTGTGGCGTTACAGCAATGCTGCTGCTGTACACTCTGCCCATAGAGAATACATGTAAGTAGTTTCTTATTTTTTCCAGACTTCAGAGCCCTTGCAATTGAAGGCTAGACAACTAGGCCATCAACAGAAATCACCCTACAGCTTCTGTCCCAGTGATGAGATGAGGATTCTAGGTTGCCCTGGTGGGCAAGCTAGTGCAACATCAGCCATGGTAATAGGTCTTCCTGGGATGGTCAAAGAAAGTGGTTCTCCTTTATAATCCTCTTTGTGCCCTACTCTTTGAGTCTGGAGTGAATGTTTATTTGCTTATCCATCTGTCTATCTGTTCTTCCATCCATCTATCATCCTTTCTCTTATTATAATCTTAATTTTTAAAATTTTGTACTTTTTTCTTCTAAGATATCACTGATTTATAGAAGACATATTAAAGCTATTCTTCTAAATTATTCTACTTGCTTTCCATCACTTTCTATATTAGAGGATGCTGCTTCATCCTATGGGTAAAAAAATTGAATTTGAAGGATTTGTATTTGTGTCTATGCAACATGTATCTTTTTTAACTTCCCTTACCCTATAGCAGTGATGGAGAACCTTTTAGAGCTTTTGGTGATACAAACAGGCTGTTGCAACACTTCTACCATAGGTTCACCACCATTAACCTATATCATTTGAACCCCACTGGGTGATAAGAGCACAGGTTCTAGAGTCTTTTTTTTTTTTTTCATGGTAGAAGGGATTAGAACTTGGGGCCAAGCACAGATTCTAGAGTCAGATTTCTAGAAAGGATTAAAACCCAGAGCCTCATACTTGCTAGGCAAGTGCTCTACCATTGAGCTCTACCCCACTCCTAGAGTAGGATTTCTTAGTTTTGAAGATGACAATTTGGGTGCCTGCTCCTGGTGTCAATATGCCTGATCTTATCTGATCTCTCGGAAGATGACAATTTGCTAGCTGTGACACTGCTTTGTGCCTCACTTCTTCATCTGGAAAAGCAAGAAGACAATTCCTCTGCAGGATTATTGTGAGGAATACACATACATACATATGCACATATGCATACATTTGCATGTGTACAAGGGGTGATAAAAATATATGGTGAGTGTTTAAAGTATTGCTACCATGGCTGCCTCAATGTCCTGAATTGACTGAAAAAGGTTTACCTTTCCTGGTCACTTTGACTTTGGAGAAGAGCCAGTAGTCACACAGTGCTAGATCTAGTGAATAAGGTGGATGAGAAGACATTGTAATTTTTAGGTATACAGTATAGTTACATTCATTATTGGGATCTTGTACCTCTACATGACAAGTCTTGGTTCTCATTTTTTTCTCTTATCCCTTCCCTCCCTTCACCCTCTCCTCCCCTCCCCATTTACAAACACTTTTTTTCCATTTTCTCATATGTTTTTCTTTTCCCTTTTTCCCTTTCCCCTACCCTTCCCACTTTCCCTACACCTTTAGCCCTTTTCTTCCTATTTCACATTGTCAATTATCTATGAGCTTGCTTTTCTGTTGGACAGCATGTAGCAGCAGCATTCACTATAGTTTTGATCACCAAAAACATTCACAAAAGACTTCCAAAACAGCTTCAAAAATTAGCACAACAATGAGATAAACGTATTTGAATTACTTCTGCTCTCATTGCATGATATTTGTGTGTGTGTGTGTGTGTGTGTGTGTGTGTGTGTATCAGAACATCGGGCAAAGAGTTTTACCTTGACTGTGCAGATTTGGATTAAACACAAATGAGTAACTCCCCCGAGTGCCCATTGAGTATGTAGTGGTCCCCAGACAAAATGTACTCTTGAATGCATTGTTAAGCTATACTCATACGTGCAAGTGTAGAGATACCTTGTTGCTGCTTGAAGATTCAGGAAGTATTGTATTTACAATTGAATGTACACAATGGAAACTTCCAGAAGGTGATACCATAATGGATCTACTATTGACAGCATATTTTAATTTACTTCATTATTGGCTTTAGGTAGTACACAAAACTTCTTTTACTTGTTAAGTAGTATTTTGAATATGTTCACTCTTTTGACAAATATAAACTTATCAAACTTGTGATATATCAAACAGAAGATATTACTTTGAACAAAGTTAATTTTAAAAGTGAGTTAATTTGTCATTGATAAACTTAAAACAACACTAGCAAATTAATTTTGTAAAATTTGAAATGATAAAATGATGATGATGATGATGATATTCAAAGTTATGTTGACTTTTTAGCTGAAGAAACAAAGAATGCATTTGCCCAGTCTACTACGTAGCTATTTGGAGAATTTAATAAAAACAATCTAAAGAATACCGTATAGAGATATGCTTAGATTTTGAGAATTAGATACTTTCTTGTCAGAACAACACCTTATTTTTGAGTATAGTTGTAATACCAAAATACTTGCTACTAGCACTTGTACTAACACTTGATATGTGGCATGTCTGAAATGAATTGTGTAAGTATAAGATATACACCAGATTCTAAAGACTAAGAAAAAAATATATAAAAATTGTACTAATTTTAAAAATATTTATTACATGTTGATAACAGAATATTTTGGATATATTTGGCTAACCTATTTAAATTACTTCTTTTTATTTTTTCAACATGGCTTCTGAAAATTTTAAATGATATATATGCTTCGCATTTTATTTTTGTGAGTTTCTATATACAGGAGAAAATAAGAGAATTTCTTCTATATATAGGAGAAATAAGATGCAAAGAATTGTAAGGAGATAGTTCTATTCCTTGTATTTGTTTTCTTATTTTAGAGTTAATAATCTGGCATCTGCTTTACACTTTCAGAAGGAATTAATTTTAGTTTCCCAATTCCTTTCTTTTAATTTGATTTCTTATCTGGTTTCTTTTCTGTTGAAATGATTTTCAAACATATTAGTCACAAAGCCACAAATGTGGCTTTTCTGTACTGTTGAGATCTCCACAAACTTCACCAAGTGGCCTGAGGTTTTCCCAGATGAAGATTCATGGCAAGGAATTTCTATGGTTTCACTGTTTTAATGATCCTCAAATAGATGCCATTTTAAAAAGTGTATTTTATCACCCAAAGGCATAACCCTAGGGGTGATGATGGTATGATTATTGCTAGTTTGTTGTTTATGTGATGATGCCAATGAATTCACTTGGAGATTCCTAATCTAGGGATTAAAACAGTACAGTCCTCTCTCTTGTTGGCTTTAAAGTTTTAATCTCCAGTTTAAAATTCATAAAAGTATTGCTGAGAATCAAATGTTTACATGTTAATGGACATAAATGAGTTGTGAGGAGCATAGGTAGAAAAACCATTGGTTTTTCAGTTAGTTGTTAGATAGCAATATTACTATTGGAAGGTATCCAACTGGCTCCAAGTTAAGTTCTCTTTTTTTTTTTTTGAACTGGATCCAGAACCTCTGGATGAATCGTGAGTTTGAAATTCCCAATGTGAAGAGAATAAAAGGCTTCCTTGGTTCTGCCTCCTAATGACTGTCTGTCTTGACTGTGGATGGGGGTGGGGCATTGGCTACTCAGAATTCAGATTATGGCCCTGTCCCACCACAGAACATATCCTGATAGTTTCTTTGTTGTTGCTTTCTCTTTTTGTAAAAAAGTATAGCATAAAATTTAACATTTCAACTGTTTTAAGTCTATAGTTCAATAGCGTGAAATATATTGACCTTGTCAAACAGATAACCAGAGATTTTTAATCTTGCAAAACTGAAACTCTATACCAATTAAAATTCTGTTTTCTTCTCAGCCCCTAGTAATGCCATCCTATTTTCTGTTCCTATGCATTTGATTGCTTAGAGGCCCCATAAATAGAATTTATACAATATTATTTTATGACTGGCTTATTTCACTTGCCATCCTATTGTCAATGTTTATCCATGCTGTAGTATGCGATACAATTTCCTTCTCTTTAAGGGTTAAATAATATTCCGTTAGATGTGTCCCACTTTTGTCTACCCATTCATAGACAGATTGCTTCCCTCTCTTGGCCACTGGGACTAATCTTTCCATGAGTGGGTGTGCAAGTAGTTCTTTGAGAACTTGCTTCCAGTTCTTTTCACTGTATATTCAGCAGTGGGATTGGTGGGTCCTACAACATTCCTCTCTTTAATATTTTGAGGAGCCTCCCTAGTGTTTTCTATGGCAGTTGCACCATTTCATAATGCCCCCAAATAGATTTTTTTTTAAATCTCCATCTTTGATCAGTTACTTTTCTGTGAATTACAGATATACAGAGTGGATCGTCAGGTTTACTCATCATCAGGGCTTTCAATAGATGAACATAGAGAAAGGTGAGGGAGTCAAGTATATTTTCAAGGAAGGGAGTATGTGAATAGATCATACTATCCCAACTGGTCAAGGATGCCTGGGGTGACAATGGCTAGGTGAATGAACAGTCACAGAGTCTTGATTAGCTTAACAGTTATTGGTATGGGGTACTAACCTGTAAGTGAGATATGAAAAGCAAGAATTTGAGGATGTGGAGTCTGGGAGTGGGATGACAGTGCTTAAGAAGGGAGGTTCAGTGCCATGCAGCAGTGAACAGAAGAGTCTGGGCATGGTGATGGTGGGGTGACACTGGCCTGGTACCAATGGATTGCTGTGCATCCAAAGAACGAAGCCCTATGTGTACAGTTGCACTATGAACTCTAAGGTTCATTAAGTGAAGAAAGCATAGTGAAAAATATGTATGGTCTTTTCTCATTTGTTTGAAGCTTACATTCATCCATTTGGCTTGTGCATAGAGAAAATCTCTGCAAGGACACAAAGGAGACTGGCAGAAGGATGACTTCCCCTCTAGGAGGAGAGCTGGGGACAGGTGAAGGAGTGACATTCAACCTCTAGACCAAAACCATCCAGTAGACTCTGGGCCAATATAACATACACTGAATCTTTTCTGAGCTGTATGACAACCACAAATGCCTTGTGACCACTGAGCCTGTCACATGTGGCTATAGCCACTGGTGAACTGAGTTAACTTTAATTTTAAAGAGTTGAAATAGCCACATGTGGCTAGCTACCACCATATTGGAAAATGAATGCATCTTTAGAT